CTGAGTGAACGTGAACTAGGAGACACACGAGTGAATCAGATCACTGCTCTACTGCAGGATAAACACTGTAAACTCAACACACTGATGTGAGTACTTCTCATGGTTTAATACTTTATAAAATACCCTTAACGTATAATATTGTTTGATATTTCATTTTCTAAATACTGGCATTGTGATTCTTTTTTAGAGGACTAAGATTAGTTGAGCCATCATATAGATTTATCCTTCTTTAGGTATTAGTTGTGTGTTGTGAATGAAATAATCTGAAGAATGTTTCCAGTCTTTTTGTTTTTTGTTTTCACTCTCACTCTCTCTCTCTCTTTTTCTCTGCAGACTGAAAAATAACAATATTACAGCAGAAGGTTGTGCTGCTCTGACTTCAGCATTTAATTCAAATCCTTCAAACCTGATAGAGCTGGATCTGAGTGGAAATAAACTAGAAAACTCAGGAATACAGAAGATCTGTCCTCTGTTTAAAAGCACAGAATGCAAATTGGAAAAACTAAAGTGTGTATTTTCATTAATGTACATTTCTACATTTGAATTTATAGTGTTAATTTGATTAGATTACCTGAAAAAATAAAACCTGGAGGCTATAATTTCAGTTACTGTCTGTACTCACCTTAGCAAAATCTCCAGAGTTAAATCAACTCTGCTCAAGAGTACATATTGTCCCAATCTACAGAGTGTTAAATTAACGCTGAAGCCGAGTTAAAGTTAATGGGATAATTAAGCAATTAATTAATTGATGAGTGCGCATTAGTAAAGAAAACCCGCTGTTAACTATGTTGAAGATGATCAACTACTGCTCAGGCTTTTAGACATGAAAACATATAACATAATCCTCAACAGTGGTAACTCTGCTTCAGTGTTACTTTAACACTCTGTAGATTGGGACAATATGTACTCTGAGCAGAGTTGATTTAACTCGGGGGATTTTGCTGTGTTTGACTTAGACTAATATTCTGTCTAACATCTCCTTTTGTGTTTTGAGAAAAAAAAACACACAAGGATGAATGAATAATAACAATTTTCTTTGGGCAAATAGTTTGTTTAGTAAGATGTTAGCATTAAATCATTGGTCAATGCATGTATTTTCCAATTTTAAAATGCTATTATATTAGCATACACTTTTGCACACTCTATGGCAATATTTTTTCTAACTTGTTGATAATTTCTCTACCTATTATTTAGCATCACAATATTGGTTTGAACTTGAAGTGTTCTTCATTTTGTTTATTTAGCACAGAACATGCAATACCTAACAGCTTCTTTCATATACAGAGTTTCCGACTGCAGTATCACTGAAGAAGGTTATAAAGCTCTGGCTTCAGCTCTGAGATCAAACCCTTCACACCTGATAGAGCTGGATCTCACAGGAAATGATCCTGGACAATCAGGAGTGAAGCAGCTCAGTGATTTACTACAGGATGGACACTATAAATTGAAGACCATCAGGTGATTAAAACCTTCAAATACTTATTAAAATTGTAAATTTCAAATAACCTTTCTGGAACCATGCTGCAACAACAATCAGTTGACAAGCTGTATCTTCTTTTGATCCAGTGTTTAATTAATCCC